GGAGAGCAGCACCGTGGCCTTGGCTGCTAGCCAGCTGCTGCAGCAGCTACGCCTTTGGCGCCCCTCCTCTGGAGCCTAGCCACTGCACTAACCTTCGGAACGTGCAGTGCCTTCACCCCTACATTGAGGATGAGGTTGCGGCAAGGTCATGCACCTAAGGACACCTGCTGCTTGGGGTCCTTTCATCTGCGCAGATTTGAAGAGCCCGCCCGCCTGCACATATTTCCGCACAGCTGTGCTGCAGCAGAGCGTGCTTCACACATTTGCGGCGTCACTGTTGCGCTCCACGCAACTGGCTGCCCACGCCATGTGCGCATGCGTCAGTCAACGCAGAGGCCAGGATATGTAGGTGTGCAAGCTGCGGTTGAGTAATTGCACAACATGGTGGTGGAGATGCGGCGGCACGACCGGGAGACAGCCAGCATGAAACACCAATTCCATTGCATTTTGATAGCCAGGTGGGCCCCTGGCTACTCCGCGGCTTTCAAAGGAAAAGCGGTGCTATACACAAAAAAAATACAACACGCTTTTCAGCAGCGAGCGCAAAAACCCCTAGCTCACCATAGGGGGTGACGCCCCCAACCTTGACGGCTGCAAATAGTGTGAGTCATGGCGGGTGCTACGAGCGCCTGCAGGCCTTGCTCGGGACCCAATTGCCCAGGGGCTCGTTCGCACTTGGGTGGGGCGAGCCTCATGACCTGGAATGGAGGCGACTGCGGGACGCAGTCATTGGCAGCGCCAGGCTGCAGGCCTGCATCGCGCTCGCCAGGATGACCGAGCCGGCCGGCTCTATCACCATCACGCAAAAAGGGCCTGCGCCGGGGATGACAGTGCCCTGCGGCAGCCTGCCGAACGGACCAGTCTGCGCGGCAGCGCCCGCGAGTGGCGGGCCCAGTGTTCAGCCGCTCATGTTGCCTACCGAAAGCAGTGTGCGTGCACCCATCCCTGACTGAGTTGAGCTGACACATACACTTTGCTAAGCAGACCTTGGCCTCACGCATGGTTGGTTGTTCCTTCGTGTGAACGCGCCTGTGCTGCCCAGCAGGCAGGCCTCGAACGCGACGCCGCCGCGACTCCCGACCCACAAATTCTCGCGGGTGTGGCCCAAAGCATGTCGTGGCTGTTACTTGCGTGTCCGGTGCGTGGTGGGCAGCACGATACGAATTGCAGCAACCAGAACAAAACTGCGAAACAAACGTGACAGGACCTTGGACAACCACGAACCACGTGAGTGCGCGCGTCAATCACATCACACCCCTCCCGCCGCAACAAAGCGACAGCCGCCAGTCAGCGCTGCAGACACAACAGATCCAGGCGCCAAGGGCAAACCCTGCCCCATCCCGGGGATTGCCAAAGCGCGTCCTTAGTCACCCCACGTAGTCGTCGTGCACCCCAAAGTTGTCGCTGCCGCTGCCTGGCCCCGCGGCCTCCAGCATCTCCTCCAGAGCAAGGTCAACCAGCGCCTCGTCATCGTCATCCTCGTCATCGCTGACGCCATCACGCCCTCCGCCGCCGCCGCCAACCCCGCCGCCACCCATGGCCCCGGCGGCGCCGCGGCCCGCTCCGCGCTGCCCTCTCGCCGCAGCCTTGGCGGCTGCCGCCGCGCGCCGCGCCTCCTCCACTGCGGCCAGCAGGTCGTCCCCGCCCTCACCCTCACCCTCCTCCTCCTCGCTGCCGGCCCCGGCCCCGCCCCCGCCCCCGCCCTGCCCCAGCTTCTCCTGGTGCTTCGCCGTCCGCCGCCTCCTTGGGGGCGCCGCTTCGCGCCCCCGGCGGCGGCCTCCTTGGGGGCCTGCAATTCTGCGGCGGCGTCGGGCGGGTCCCGCTTGCCTGCGGCTGCTGCCACCTCTTGCCGCTCGCCCCTCGCCCTCTCCTTAGGCTGAGCTGTGGCCACAGGCTCCACCACCGCGCCCGCAGGCTCGGCGCCCTCAGCCTGGGAGCCGCCCGTCGCTGGCCGCTTGCCCCCACTCTGCTGCGGCCCGCCCCCGCCCGCCTTTGCCTGGCCATTGGCAGCAGCCGCCGCGGCTGCCGTCCCCTTGCGCTTCCTGCTGCGCTTCCTCGCCCGCCCGCGCCCCTCCGCCCTGCCTGCCACGGCGCACCCCTGCACCTCAGCAGCCGCCGCGCTCGCCATCACGAGCCCTTCAGCCCCTGCACCCGCTTTGGCACCGCCACCGCCACCGCCGCCAACGCCGCCGCCGCCGCTGCCCTGTCGCGCCGCGTGGTCCCTGGTGGCGGCCAGGAACTCTGCCCGGACTTTTTTGGCGTATGAGGGGTCGAAGGCCGCGGCCTGTGCCTTGAAGGCGTCATGAAACAGGGCCAGCTGCCTGGGCCATGGTATGCGGTGGTGGTAAGGGGGTGGAAGGGGCGTGGGGTGAGAAGGGCCGGATGAATGGGGACGTGTCATGAGAAGAAGGGGTGCGGCGTGTGGGCGCTGCCTCAGGGCCCCCTCGGATGGGGCGGAAAAAGCAGGGATGAAGGCCGCCTCCCTTGACACGCCGGCTGGCGGCCCAAGTGGTGAGGGTGGCGGCGCTCTGCGGCGCGTGTGTGCAGCTGTGTCACTGAGGTGCTCCCAGCAGCGCGCAGCAGGGGCAGCGCAGAGGCGCGCCAGCCTGGCAGCACGGGCCGGCACCCTGCCTGCCCGCCCTACCTGGCTGTCGCGGGGAACCTCTCGTGGTACACCAGCTGCTGGGCTGACGCCAGGGCCAGGCGCAGTTCCAGGGGCGGGAAAGGCAGGTGGCTCCTGTGTGTGTGGG